TGGAAATGAAGGAAGAATTTCTCATTCAATTCAATGAAGAATACATCACAGTGGAATATAAATACAGTACAATGGAGCTAACAAACTAACAAACAATGGATTGACAGCTGCAAAAGTAATTAACTAACTATACAATTGGACTAACTACCAACCATAACTACTGGCTGCACTTGGTGCCAAATTGAGCTCTTATAAGAGGAGTAGCTCCAACTCTTATAAGTGGGTCTATATTTTCATCTCTATTCGATGTGAGATTTTATCCCTTAACAATTGTTGACAATTTTTATTATTTACTTAAGAACGAGATTTTCACTTATTCTGATTGTTAGCGTTTCGTCTTGTTTTTACAGGTGCAGGTATATTGTGGTTCCTATTGTTTAATATCTGCAAAATAAGATAGGGCATTTCGTTTCTTGGAGAGAGAGAATGCTGCCTCACGAGCTTGGGGTCCACACTTATTTTCATTAGTTTCCAAAATTATTGAGGATAGTTAAAAGGGGAAATTGTTTGAGGGAGTGATCATCAGATCATGGGTGCTGTTTGTTGCTGTTTGAGGGATGAATGTGAAGATTTTGCTCATTCGAACAGCTCAATCTGTGGGAACTTTATATGCATTCGTTTCTTCATTCAAAACTTCTTACATGTGGTATGCTTTAAATTATTAACTGTCTACTTAAGTATTTTGATTGGATTGATGATCTCAATTTTTTGAACTGAAAAAATCGAATTTAATTTCTGCTTACAAAAATGTCGATAATATGGATGGTTATCAACGACTTCTCAATAAGCTTATTGAGTTTAAGAGTTTCAAAATCCATGTAATTTAGAGCTATGGTGCTGTCGAACTACTACATGTGAATCTATTTAATTTGCTAGCCTGAAAATGAAAACAACACTGATTGAGCAGAAAAGTTCACAATGTGAATACAGATTTCAATTGAATTAATTGACCAAGCCCAAACCGTACTGGGGAAACTTCAGGTCAGGATTCTTATTGGGTTAACTGGATAATTTTCCATACACAATACTGACATTAACTTTTGTATCATTAAAAATTTCATGAATGTCAACTAATTTGTGCTGCCATCTGATTGTAGAATACTCTTTATTGCTTTTTGCAGTATACATCATTGTTTCATAGAGAAGAAGAACAGGAAATCGCTTTATCCACTCAGGGGACAACATCTTTAAGTTCTGCAGCGTCACTTGATACTTCTCTAGTGGATATGTACCACGCTCCTCCAAGACCTCTGCCTTACGATGCGGATCCAAGATATTTTCACTTGCAGCAGGGTGGAATGGTATCTGGACGTGAGAAAGGCTCAAGCCATTCGCACGAGGAAACTGAACCCCTGAGGAGAAGCGAAGTCGATGAAGAGTCTGAATCTTTGAGTGTCACAAACAGATTGAAAGAGTTTACATGCGAAGAAGAATCAAATGAAAGCAATTTGAAATCAAAGCCAAGACTCTCAATAACTAATACAATGACAGAATTTGCTCATATTAACACTTCTTCAGAGGATGAAGATGTCTGCCCCACATGTCTTGAAGGTAAGAATATAGCATTTTTAGTTTTCTGGCATTTCCTCATTGTGTTTGTTCATTATATGTAAGGTATCTGAATTTTGTAGTATTACTTAGAAATACACGCTTACAATTTTCATAAATATTTAGAACCAAATTTATCCTTTACTGATCTGGGATTCTGGTGCTATGAGTGTGAAACAAGAGTGTTTAACTGGGATAGCCTAAAGCAGCATCGACAAAGAAAAATGTGATTCTGGTACATGGAATTTTGAACAGTCTGAATTTTGGAGTTTTCTCTGCAATGCCCAAAATCTTTCTGCACTTGTTTGCTTGAGTTGATGACTGCTGCACCAATATGCAATACATAGTTTAGAATATCCTGGATTCTGATTTTACTTACCTTTGATACAATGCATCTTTTCCTTGCAGAGTATAATACGGAAAACCCAAAGATAATTACGAAATGTTTTCACCATTTCCATCTTGGTTGTATATATGAGTGGATGGAAAGAAGTGATAACTGTCCAGTTTGTGGCAAGGTAATATCTGATCATTCCTAGTATTTCCTATGTCTGCTTATTCTTTAAGATTATAATTTCCTCATCTGCATTCTTTATTTTGTATAAACATTGACTTTTCCCCACGTATGCTGAGTATCAATGGGGAAGTTATCATATTTTCACATGGGAAGCTTTTATCTTAATTGCATATTTTCCTCTATTCAGTTAGTGCTGTTGCTTTCTCACGCCCTCTTCCCAAAACTGCTTGTATGATTTGGTGGCTAGTACACAACTTATGCGACCAATGTAGCCTGTATGTCCAAGATCAGCAATATTAGTTGCTTACTGGTGACGAAGTGATGCATAATCTCTTTCTGATGGCCATTGCCTAATGAATTGGCTTGTCGTCCCTCTTTTCCTTGGGCGTTTGAGAATATTAGACCTTTATGGTAGTCTTGCAGCCTTGGGTTCTTTTTTACCACTCCAGTTAGAGGAAAACCCACACAAGCAGGAAATTTAGATTCAGATTCTTTACAGTTGTTTGACGTTCAATAAAGGAACTATATTTTAAATATAAGATATGATGAATTCAACCGAAGCTGGTCCAAGAAAATCATGCCTGGCTACATGGAAAATTATGCTCTTGGCAATGATGTTTTTTGTCCCTCGACATTATATAACTTCTGGTTTATCTCTACAAAGTGGGTGGGGGAGGGGACAAGAAACGTTCTGTTCTTTCATGATCTTTTTATCTTCTAATTCTGTTTTTTCATGACCTTGACTATCCCATATTGAAAAGTAACTCAGCCAAAGATTTTTAAACTAGAAGTTACTTATAATTAACTTATACTTAATTTTAAGCTTAGTCAAACATGCTAGGAAACTAGCTGGGTTTGATTGTTATTAACTGAAATGGATATAAGTGCATGATCATGCATATATGTGTCGACCTGTGGTTAATTTTGTTCACTTTGCTTTTCAGGAGATGGCATTCGATGAGACGACATGATCTTTCCCAAAAGTTCTAGTTGTGTATGAAACCAACATCAAGCAAAAAAGGAAATAAAGAACGGTAATCAAACATGTAACGTTATGCCTCACTCGAGCATATTATTGTCCCAATAATCAGTACATTATAATTTCTTTCAACTACTTGCTTCTTCTGTATATTATTTTTCACACAGAAATTTTTGCTCACACTTCTTGATGAGGTGCGATCTTGTATATTTACCTTCCACTCTCACAACTGGATTTCTTTTTTCAACAAGGTGAAAGAATACCCATTATGTTGATTGTTCAACCGATTTTACATCTGAAGCCTGGAGATGAATTTACTGGGCAGTGCATCTTAATTTTGGTTGCTTTGAATATATGTTTGTTGCATGTATTGTAGAATTTTTGTGTCATTCATCTAGAGGGAAGGTGCACATACACAAACACTAGGAAGCCGTAGCTAATATAATTTATCACGTATAAGGTTTATTATTTTGAAACCTTAATGTCAATTGAGCAACAGTCCAAATGTCATTAGTTTGATCATTTATTCCAACACTTTGACATGCATGGATTCAAATGGACAACTTCTAGACCAAACACGTACTAAGAAAGGTGAAAAGAAGGAAAATCTTGTTTATTATACTGTATACTACTCTTCACCAAACGTGCTTACTTCATATTTGGTGATTTTAACTTTTCCTTCAACCTTGTAAAATGCGTCAGCAACTTGCTGCTATAAAGATGATATTCCTTTATCACTGGTTCTTCCTTAAATTTCACAGTCCATTTGTATAATCGAGGCCAAGTGCTAGGTTCCAGAATTTGTATGCCATCAACTTCATGCATACATCCAAACCAGTGAACAAGCAAGCCAAATGATATGTCCAATAATCCAATTTTGTTACCACCAAAAAATTTCTCATCTCCTAGAGCCTGATCTTGGTGATTTTTTTTACATTATATTGATATGATTTGAATGAAAAGAAAATAAAGATTTTTAAAAGAATCTACAAACGCGCTATAACGCCATTGATGATGACCCTTTACTCCGACAAAAAGTTTGAATTTTGACCATTTCATTTATCTTCTTTCTTATTTATGAGATATTTTTTTCCCTGGGATAAAAGATTAAGCAAAAATTCTAATTTTTCTAGTTTTAATTTGAAATTAAAATGTCAAAAAAACATCAAAAAAGATGAGTAGATAAAGAGGAAATTTCTAGATCTCATGCATCTACTTAAATTGTGCGAATATGATAACCCCTTTCATTGTAAGAATTTTCTATTAATATAGAGCATCATTTTACATTAAGTCTCTCATACCTACTAATTGATGTACATGAGCCTCTATCTCCCGCAGTTTCTACTCCTGTTAATAGTTTAGAGCATTATTTATTATTACTGTGGGGTCCTGAAGCGCAAGGAAATTTTATTCGTTGGTGTCCATTAGGCGATCTCTGGACTTTTGTTGCTCTCCATGGTGCTTTGGACTAGTATGTTTCATGTTACATTAATACGAGCTTGCTCGATCTGTTCAATTTCGACCTTATAATGCAATCACATTCTCTGGTCCAATTGTTGTTTTTGTTTCTGTATTCCCGATTTATCCACTGGGTCAACTTGATACTAATTACTTTCAATACGAATAACCTGTTCATGGTTTTTACAGAATGGAAACAAATGAAATGAACAAGGAAACTTTCGAAAACATCATTTGAACTGAGGTAGACAACATGAACACATACAAACCATCGTTTTCAATCCAATACAGAAAATGTGTGTGTGCAGAAGTTTCACTTATTACCAATGTTACAACAACTCGGGTTTAATCACACCTTATTTTTCTAATGACATTAATACCACCTGCACAGACAACGAAACAACAAGATAACTTTAAGAAGATTAGAAGGAAAAGGCAACAGGCCATCCATTTGGTCGAACTGATGGACTCCCCCATAGTTGATCAGAAAACAATATTTTATTTGCTTGCAGCCGTTTGAAAAGTTCTCAGGAAGGTTTCGGGTGGTTGGCCTCCACTCAATTGGTACTTCCCATTTATCTGTTGCAAAATGAGGTTAGTTTAGAATCTATAGTTTGCACAATTATTTTCATCGTTGGAAGTGATTTTTCCTCAACTTACCACATAATATGGGACTCCACTTATATTTGCTGAGTACTTCTGAAGTTCTGCGTTAACCTTCACGAAAAGACAAATTTTTGCTGGTCACATTAATTAGATCAAGTACGCTATTTTTTTAGCCCTATTTGTCTACCATTATTCAATGAAAATGAGTTTTGGAATAGTGAATTTTGGAGAATGTGTAGTTAAAAAGTAGGAAAAAGTTTTGAGTTTATGTGCAAAATATTTTGTTGTGAGAATGTGTGGTTGAAAATGAGTTTGAAAAAAAAAGAGTTACAAAATAATGGTAGACAAACAGGACTAACAGGAAAGAGCTAAAATCCGAACACGATGTTTTAATCTTGGAATCATAGAAATCATTACCCTGCTTTCCATAACCTTGTTCTAGATCACAAAAGACTGGAACAGATTAAAAGAAAGAATAGACAACCAAATTATATTCATATCTTATTGATGAATAAGATTTCTTGTTTTGAAAACAAACCTCCTTCAGTCCATTGTTTGGATCTTCGAGAAACTCAGCTGCCCCTTCCAGTCCTACCTTTCTTGCAGATTCCACAAGAAATTGCCTTTAGATGTGATGAGACAAAGGCAATCAAGTTAATCTTCAAGAATATGAAACTATAAAAGCTTCAATTGACACTGAACTCGGGAAAGAAATCTAGCTACTCTACTGACCTGTCACCTATATACTTTCCCTGTGTAAAGTAACCAAGGCAAAGTTCTTCAACAAGTTTATGTTGCTTATCTGGCCCTTGTTGTCCAGCAAAATATATTAACCTATGGCTATCCAGAGTATTTCCCCTGCACATTTGAGACCCAATCAGTGGCATCTAAAAATGAACTCCCTTCTGTCAAGTTTGGTATGCTAGACTAGACAGTATCAGATAGAATTAAGGAAGAAAAAGAAGTAATAATCTTGTTTGTCCTGTGCAGCATTCCTTAGTACTGAGTAACAAACATGACCTTCACGTTACAACTGTAGAAGCCCAATTTTCTTTGTGCCAAAAGTCATAAACAGAGCGTGGGAAGTGAAAACCACCACCTTCTTTAACCCAATAGTCAAGGTGGCTCCAACCACTTATTTTGTGAGTTTTAGCACCTCTGTAAGATATAAGTAGTGATGCACTGTCAATTACTTGCCCAAAAATAAAGTGAACTTACGTTAGTCCGTCCACGTCATATTCCAATCCAAAACCCTTAAAGATCTGCAAATGACAATGTTTTGGAATCATATTACTTATATGGAAGAGTTCAGAACCAAAAAAAAATTCTCGAGTGTTCAAGGAAAGGACTGAATGTGAAGAATAAACCTCAGCCATCCGGGACTCCATTTGTTCAACTCGCGGTCCAAACCTACTCCTGTAATAGTCCTTCTTAACAACTCCTTCCTTGGGCGCAGAAGGATTAAGAAAATAGGGGTGCCATTTAATCTGCAGCATAGAAATTCTCACTAATTATGATCTGAAGTTGGAAATGTATTGACAATAAGAAAATAAAACCAAAACGAACCTCAAAATTGTATTGATTATTTGATGAAGCTATAGCTTTGTCCAGATTCTTTTTCCCCACAAAGCACCATGGGCATACGGTGTCTGCACTAACATCAATTTGAATAAGTTTCTTTGCAGGGCCGGCACTCGCTGATTGGGCCATGAAGCTGGATCTGCAGTTATTAGTACTCGAAATTAAGCTACTTAACCTAGGAAAAATAACAACTCTGCACATCTTCAAAACCGAAATGGGTTAACCTAAACCCTAATAAAGCATTCAAGTCTTTCTTCTTTGCCTGTATCTTACGAGCAATTAAGCAAATAAAAAGGGGTTAAGGTATACCCTTTACCTGCACTACAATTTAACAATTTATACTAATTTATGATTTGGATCAATATATAGTTAAGGAAATGCAAGAATGATTTCTTCTTCAGTGCACTTAATTACTAAAATTAAATTGAACAACAAATCATCACCAAAAAATCACAACTTTATGAAGCGTTTACACTGTCTTTTTAAGATTAAATAAACATCCAGCTGCAGATTAAAACAACCAGAATTCTGATAAACTAATCAATGATTTGATGAACAGAAAATACAATTTATGAACAGAAAGTACCATTAATTTGATTTAATAGAAAACTAATGCAGATTAAAACAAACAGAATTCTGATAAACTAATCAATGATTTGATGAACAGAAAATACAATTTTTGAACAGAAAGTAACATTAATTTGATTTAATAGAAAACTAACCTGTGAAACTTTCGGATCTGGAATTGCAGGAGACAATTCAATCGCATATAGTGTCAATTAAATCCTTGATTCTGCACGATTTCGTTTCTGTCTAAAATATAATTAGTTCAAGTTTGACTTTCCTATTAATCACCTTCTCTCCCTTTCATAAAAGTCAAAATAATAGAAAGAAATAAAAAACAAGTTATGATTTTTATTGGAATTTCAACGACCAGTCAGACTGTTCATACTCAAATGTGCAGTTTCCGTGGGCTCTCTCTCTCTCTCTCTCTCTTAATAAAAATAAATTTCTTTTGATTTCCATTATTTCAAATTATAATTTTTTTTTCTTATTTTCAACCACACAATATTTCATAAAATAGTATTATACGTAAATCGAAAATTTTCCATTCTTTTTCAATCACATTTTTCAAAAATCACTATTCCAAAAATTATAATCTCAAATAATCGGGGTCAAACGGGGACTAAAACTATTGAGCAAGTACTTCGAAAAAAAAGCACTATTGAAATAAAGTTGACTGACATTTTAATTTTATACAAAGCAACTAATCTTGAAATTCTTATTATTTACTTCCCATACTTGTTGGAAAAATATATATTGCATTTGCTTAAACTTTTAATTTTAATATAATTTTAATCCTCATTGAAATTTTTGTCGAAGGTTTTTAATGTCACATTAGTGCTGTATCATACATGTAGAACCTTTCAATCCTAAAATTCAAAACTCTATTTTACTTAAATTAAGCCCCCATTTGGTCACTATTTTTTTTTCTCTCATATTCATTTTCAACCATATATTTTTACAATAAGTCCCTATTTGATAGCCATTATTGAGAAGAATAATGTTTTGAATAGTGATTTTTCAAAAATGTGTGGTTAAAAAGTATATAAATATTTGAGTTTATGTGCAAAATATTTTATTATGTGAATGTGGTTGAAAATGAATGTGCGGTTGTTTTAAATGGAGGCAATAGGAGCTAAAATATTCTTCACGTAAATTTATAATTTTTCCTTACTTTTTAATCGCACATTCTCTAAAAAAATTATTATTCAAAAATTCATTCTTCCCAAAAAGTGGTTGTCAAACAGAAGCTAAATCTAGTCCCTGTTTTATTTTGCTAAAATCACATTTATAGTGAATTTTGATAAAAGTTGATGAAATGAGTGGTGAAAAGTTGATAAAAATTATCGAATATGTAATTGAAAGAGAAACTAGTCATTATTATCTTGTATTTGTCTAGACTTTGTCATTACCAAATTAAAAGACAAGTTCAAGTTAATGGTTATTTGACAAGTTTTGCTGGTTGGTTGATTGCTTCATGTATTTATGCTTTTAAGATGAAAGTACCATAAATGAGAATGTTCAGACTATTTTAGCATGAATAAAATAAGAAATGATATAAACGCAAACAAGTGGCGGTTCGACCAGTAGAGATAAAATAAAGATGGGACAATTTAGACGTCGATGACATGTCATGCTTAGACCCAGAGAAACCCCATTCATAAGAGCGAAATGATCCAGGTAAAGAAAGTTAAAAGAGGAAGATATGGATCAAAATTATAATGGCCCGACGTGTTTACAAGAAATTTGATTTTATTGTAATTTTGAGTAAATGTAGCTCTAATTGAACAGAGTGGTGAAAAAAGGATTTATGTATCCAACCCCATATTTATTGAGAATGTTACATAGCGTATTGTTGTTGTTTGCCTGCTGTCAATTTTCTTTTCTAAATTTCGTCATTCCATGTTATTTGCTAAGTTTCTTGTGGGGTTGTTCATCTGGTTTCTCTGTCAGAAGATGTCTTGCTACAAGCATGGGGTAGTGTTTTCTTGCACTCCGAATGAGTCTGCAATGATGCTTGAAATATACCTGTTTTGGCGATCCCGACTAGTGTGCAACTGGTTGCCTGTGGACATTGTCACACGCTCATTTCTACTAAAGACGGAAGAATTCATGGAGGGTGTATGGAGTTACAATAGTTATGGTGAGACTCCTGATGAGAAATCATATGCTTGGTATCCTTCCCCAATTGAGTGGTATGATATGGAATGTCTTTATTTTAAGTATTTTCTAAGCCAGAGAATATTCGGCTAAAGCCTAAAAAATGTAAATGTAAATGTAATTGTAGAAAAGTAAGTGTTAAGTTTTTAGTGTTGACAATTCTATGGACAAAATGACTAATTTGTAATGCGATGTAAAAGTCAAGGACCTAGGGTTCAATTTGTATGAATTAGGTTATGAGTTCTAGGGTTCGAGCATGAAAAGAGGAGAATCACGGCGCTACATTTTCGCGCTTATCGCCTAGACACTGCTCGAACGACAAAAATAGAATCCCCATCGCTCGCCTGTCCCCTGGCTCTCGCTGAGCGACAGTGCATCGCTCGTCTATCGTTGAGCTCTCGCTCGAACAACAAGTCAATTCGGATAATCATATTTTGCTGGTTTGAAGTATTTTTTGGGTCTATTCAACTTAATTACCCTTCCTATAAATACACAAGCTTATGCACGAAAATTTTGTAATTGTTCATTGTGCCTCTCCTCTATAACATATTCAAGATCCTATTCATATATTGAATTTATCCTTTCACTCTTGATTTTATACAACCACATATTTGGGAAAAAAATCAAACCCATTGAATCCGAAACCCCACCTACTTCTTATTGGTCATAGGAATGTACTTTCTTAGTTGGACTTCAGAAGTTTCTGGAGGTTGAGAGAGGTTGGACTACAAGCGCAGAAAGAGTACAAGGCCTTGGAGCAGGTTCTTGGAATTCCGCTGGGAATAGACAATTGCAGAAGATTTTATAGCAATTCTTGGAGTAGACCTTGGAGTTAGCAGAAAATAAATCGAGAAGTCTAGTGGAGTTGGCTAGATAGCATTTGACTGTAACTTACTCTGTACTGTCTATAGTGGAGGTAACTGGCTTGATCCCGAAATTTTTACCTTGTCCGTCATCATTTTGGTGTTCGTTATTTATTGCTTTCGTTATTATTGCGGTATTTAAACTTAGGAAAATTGACTTGTTTGATTAACTATCTAGAAACAATTAAAAGTGACTTGTTGCTTTTAATTGATTAATTCCACATGTAGGGTCAAAACTAAAAACGGATAATTAATAACCATTCGGTAACTTAGTAGCCATTAATTTGATAATCTGTAACTTTCAAGTGGTATCCAAAGCAACACCCGGATTTTTCAGTAAGTAGAGACTTTAAAAAGCATTTGGAAAAAAGGTTACTTAAACGTAACTTTTAAGCTTATGATGTTTGGTCAAAACATGGCGAGGATTGCAAGTTTACAACCCAAGGAGGGGGGCAAGACTTGACCTGCAAATGACCATTACAGACTCGAAAATTTGACTAGAAACAGAAGTTTACCTAATCCAAGGAGCTAGGGGATACAGAAACACCGAAAAAAAAGGGATTAAAGGCCCAAGAATCCAATGAAACGACTCATTAGCATAATAGAACCAACAAACAAGGGTAAAAGAAGTGGTAGTCAAAGTATGATTACAGGGATTCTCATCAGTTCTGTCAGCCGTCGTACTTATTTTCTCCTTTCTAGATATTTACAGTAAGAAATCCATGTAAAACCTTTTGTTTGCTTTTGCAGGAAGCATTTGCTTGATGGTGGAGATTGCAACTATGATGGTGAATTTGGTGCCTAAAGGCATTGACTGATAAGATTAACCGCTGTTTCGTAGTTGCATTTCTGGATTAGAATTCCAAAGCATGAGGAAACTGTAACTGAGGGTTGTTGTGCATTGAAAAATGTCGTGTACTTGGACATTTTCTGTATATCTAATGAATAGTTGACATTCTTATTAATCAATAAAACTTGTAGCTATCAACTTTATTACATGCCTTGCAAAATTATACTTTTAATAGCAATAATTGATGATGTTTAAGAAAATCTTGTCTTTGTTCAGGCTCAGGCTCAGTTTCATTTTTTATTTTTTTAAATATTTTTTTCGAACTATAGTCCCTTTAAAATAATAAAAATCACGAAAAATTAAACAGGACCGATGAGCATCCCAAACCTTGCCATTTTCTTTCGGTCCAAGCCGATATACCTTTTTGACAAGAATAATTATCATCGGTCTTAAGTGACAATGATCCCATAATTTAATACCTCTTGTAAAAATGCGCAAAAGAAAAGCCAATGATGGCGTGATATGGGATGTATGGTCTTTCAATATAAAATAGAAAATTATTACAGTGGCACGATGCAACAATAATAGCGCCTCGGTACATTTAATTTCAAGATTATTAAAGTAATAAACACACTTCATATAATATCTGCTTGTATAAGGTGAGTACATAGAAACCATTCAGCATTGTAGTTGAGCCCGGAACATACAAATCATACATCTATAAAAATAGTATCTCTTTTTTATGCAGACTTGATATTTGGTTTGCTAGTCATTCATTGCTATCATATAAAAATTTTAGTCTCCAATGGCCGGAAAATTTTTATTTGTTGGCATGGCGGAGGAGCCAAGGCGGCATGGGAGAAGTAGTGTTAGGGATAGTTCCATCATCTCCACCTTGTTCGTTTTGGGCTCCTGCTGGCTCAAAAGCACCCCTGCAAAAATAACTACTGTTACTTACCTTAACTACCTAATGCCATAAATATGACGCCAGCACCTAGATGCTCTCTACATCTATATCTATATATATATATATATATATATATATATAGATGCTCCATTGTCTTTTATAACTAGCGATTTTGGATTAAATGAATTACCTCTTTCATTTCTCAAAGGTTGTCCTAAGTCACTATCCAAATTGTCCTCTTCCTAACCAGAATTAAACATACTTTCACGTCTTCTTAACGCAAGACTCGAAATGAAAGGTTGTGGAGAGGAAATATTCATTTTTTGAAGATAATCCCAACAACAGATTTAGTAGAGACGGAGTGAGGCTTGTAGCTTAGAGAATTAAAGCACGCTGCCAAAAACCAAAGTGCCAGGTTTCAAATCCCTCCTCGCCCAAAAGTATATAGAGAGAGAGATGATACCCAATAGAGAGGGATGAAGGCCTTAGTGATTGTGGGGGAGGGTGAGGAAATACAAAGTTGGACGAGTTTTGTTGCTGCTGCTCCTTTTCCTTCACCTGCTAGTTAAATCAACAAATCAATCAGTTCAGTTTCTAAAACAATAAAGGGGAAAAAAAAAATTCAACCTAAAGTACCCTATTAATGCAGAAATATTAGAAGTAATGAAAAATTATTACTTAACCTTCTTTAATAATAAGTTGTTTTGCTCCTGCAGTGATCTCTCCTGTCATCAATATCAAACATCCCACATTATGGCCTAAACTTAAAATATCAGAACCAACAGGTAATGAATTCCATAATCAGTGGATTTAGAAATACCCAGGATTTTTTTCACTTATTTAGGTCATTCATATGATCTAGAAGTTCAATTGACTTTCTTGTTTAGCTACAGTGCATTCTTGCTTAGGGAAGCATATATCTTGTTTGATTCTCTGTTTCGCCTCCATTTTTTAGAACTCATGTAAAAAAAAAAAAAAAATTTCATTTTCGATCATACATTTCACGGGATCCACAATTTTTATCAACTTTTCAGCCACACATTTCGTCAAATTTTATTAAAATCTACTATAAATATGATTTCTAGCAAAACAAAATCAGGGCGAAATAAGGTTATTTAAATGTTCCTTAGTTTTGACAGATCAAAAAATGATTACAGTATAACCAAGAATAGATGCAGACAATTATTAAAAAAAAAACCTAATTATGTTTCAAGGACAGGAGAAAGTTTGATTTTCAAATTTATAAGACATGTTAGGTTGCTTACAAAGTGTTGCAACCTTGAACTTTCAAGTAAGATGTTTCCACTTTGTATCATAGGCCATCCCTTTATAATGTCATTTTCATTGCTTCAGAGTATATTTGTAGACAATAACGTTACATTTGACACACCGAATTAGATCTTATAAGGAATTTAGGAAAAATTACAGTGGATAGTAAGAGTTGGATGGAATTATGGTAGATTAAGGCACGTATATTATTGATTCTTACCTGAAAAAGGTCATTTGCACTTAAACCATATAACATGCATTCCCGGAGAGTGGAGAGACTTTAAATCGGATAAGATATATAGATTATGTTCGGTAAATTTATAAATGAGTTATAAATAGAAATAGTAGTAAGTCCCATAAAATAGGTTGATAATAATGAGTAGTACTTGTGAACGTGTAGTCTGAATTTATAAACCAACTTATGAATTGTATCCAAATGGATACATAGTGTCATTTGCACTATTTGGAATGAAATATCAAGGAATACTATCCATGTCCATCATAATCCTATCTATCGAATAATATCTAATATGATTTTATACTAATTTGTTTTAGGTCTATCTAGTGTGTTGGGTCTTTTGATACCAATAAATTTCGGGCAATGATATTAAACAGTTTGAATTATATTTCATAGGTCTCGGCCGATGAGTGGAATAACTATCAACACAATCAATTTATATACTCAACCCGAAAAAAAACTCAGGTCATTGAAAGCAACTTAATTAGTTAATGTTGCTCATGGCCACTATAACTTTTGGATGATCCTTTTAATGTGCTAGCCCACTACTTTGTTTTTTTGGCCCAACTCATGATACGACCTAACATATATATGCCCATTTTCTAGTGTTGGAACCGTGTGTGCTTTGTGAATGGAAGAGAGAAATTGTGGCTGCTTCTTACTGCCTCGACTTCGTGTTCTGTGACTTGGTTTTCTCTCTGCCTTTGTGGCTCCTTTTGCAAACACCACCATCTTGTGTTCTTGTGGGTATATTAGAAGTGACAACCAAAGAGTTATAATATTAGTTGTTGGGTTGGAGAAATTGGTTGATTGTGTTTGATATTGGTAAGTTGAATTGAGCCCGAATTCCACCAAATCGAAGGTCCATTCCACTACATAGTGCGCCAAATACGGCCTAAACACATATATTATATGGACAGCTAAAAAAATCTATGTTTCACCATATCTGAACTAAAATGTGTTTTCCATACAAATCATTTACTCATTCTCAACAAAGTTATATACATATTGGAGAATAAACTAATTTTTATCTCTTTTAAAAAAATAGTATTTCCTACTGTTTATCCTCTGTTCATCAAACATTAAAGGTTAATTTTTTCTATTCAGTAAAAGTTAGATAGCACATTCACAACTGCTACCTATCTATTAATTATTCATTTAGTGGAATCCAATACTATTTCTCCTAAAAAGTTGCTAATAATTCTACTCAAACACTTCTATAATTTTTTATTTGACTCATATGTTATGAAAAAACAAATTTAGTATGCACCATGTTACGTCATTGTTTATTTTCTTTTTTAGTTGTTCCATTGAGATCTAGGGATGGCAACGGGACGGGTATGTGACGAATTGGCCATTCCCACCCCCATCCCATTGGGTTTTTTTGTTATCTTACCCCATCTCCATACCCGATTAAAGCGGAATGGTTTTCACATATACAAATACTTGTGGAGCCAAGGATATGCAAAGAGAATTATCAGTGTTACCTTTTTCTGAAGCTCGGAAATGGACTCGTGCATAAGTTGGTTCTGCACATATATATGTTTGAGAAACATAACCGATATTTCCATGAATCTTATATCTGTTACAATTTAACCAAAATACTCGGAAAGAGAAAAAATTAACTGAAAAATCAAAGAAGTGTATTAAGTACCTTCCTTGTTCTAATTCGCTTCAGAGCAGTATCAAGCTGTTGCTCCAAACTTTGAAGCTCTCTCAAGTTGAGGGGATCCAAACCTTCTCCAACATAATTCCTGCAATAGTAATGTGCAGTTTCTCCATTTTGATTGGATCATTAATGTATAGTTGGGGACATAATTTCAGTGAGCATTCAAGTTCCAGTAGTTAACAGGTTTTGCCTTTTTATAAAAGTAATTAGCTATGATAATATATCCTGTAATGAAAATGAACTTAACCTTATGTTTCTTTGTAGAAGTTCAATCCGAGCTACAAGCTTGGGAAACTCGAGATTCCACTTTTCCTGCATAAATACACGAAATGGGATATAGATATTAAAGCCAGGATATAGGAGAGAATTAGTAACATGTACTATCTCATTTTTCTTAATTTATTGCATTATAACAAGCTTATTCGGTTCCTTTACAAAGTCTAGATTAATTTCTTATGGCCCTTTAAAGCTAGACTTGCAAAACACTTCACCTTTTTTTTTCTAGTAGGTTGGATCATTCCAAAGAAAAAAGAAAACTTTTATTCCATGTATTCGTTCAACATCCATGCCATGCTCAATCAGAAATATGTCACACAACACAGCTTGATTAGATCATATTTCTTGATCTTTTTGCTGATTGCATTCTTGACAAAAGCTTGATAGCTTTGAACCTTTCAAAAACTTCATATTTCTTTTGGAGCAAATAAATTCGATGTTTTTTTCTTGTTTCTTTTTTGCTGTCCACTTCGTTTCACATAAAATTTGTATGCACCAATTGGAGCTACCTGACTAGCAATCAATAACGACATTTTCCAAAATTCAAAGTTCACAAACTCATGGAGGATAATGAGCCAACACTCAAATAAGTAAACTCGTAGTACTAGCCCCATGGTTTATTCATCACTATGATACTAAAACTAATAATCTTTGAGTGCAAAATTTCAACAGAATTGAGTTATTTTAGGTCACTCCTCATGTCACCAGGATGCTTGTCGTTCTGATTTTTTAGCATACAGACTCCATTACTTCTTTCCAAACCTTCCCAAAACGAGGATTATGTATCAAACTTGGATTATATTCAAAATACCCTTCCTAGTATTTTCTCTCTTTTCATAGTCTTTATTAAAATATATACTATTCTGTTAACACATGTTAAATACAAATTTCTGATGTAAGCACTTCTTGAATTAATCTTATGCATAAGTTATTGTACTTAAGTTCACTTAAGAAACACTTCATTATATAACAATCCCAAACAACATAAACAAAGTCATGAAGTCTTCTTTTCTTGGCATGAATCATCCCTTTTATGATTAATTTCACACAATTTCTATAAATCAGATTCTCTCCTCTTCATTTCAGAAGAATAACGCAGAGCACCTAAGAAGAGAAAGGCTGAGACTGTCTTTGTTGGTTTCTTTGTATTTCTATCAATATCATTCCCAATTTCTGGAAATTGCTTTGACAGCAGGGCTAGTATTTTGGTAAACCTATATAAATTGCATGAATTTGCTGGTTACATTCAACTCTAAAATTATAATAGTCACTATACTGCAATGATGAAGTCTGTAGGTGTATAAGTGTTTTAATTTTGTTGTTGAGTCTTTGTTAACACCTTGTTTCAAGACAGTTGTGTTCTTGTATGTGTCTGTGTTTGATCTTAATAAAAGCACAAATTGTGGCTGAACATGGATTAAAAAAAATGTCATGAAAATCGAGGAATGCAAAAGCTTGTAGTAAGTGTCCCTTTGGCAGGTTTCTGCTTCTTGTAGAAGAGGTTTCTAAGGAAGATATCTTAGGACAATTTCATCCAAAAGCCCTTTGAAAATTATACAAGCATGTTCAAAATCATTTTCTTAGTTATAGAAACAACTTTTAACTTTCAAAAGTCACGTCAAATGTGCCATTTTCATATATTAGATTTTGATGGCTTTGTTGCTTTGGAACACTACTAAAACATTACATAACTATTTCCTTCTTCGACAATGCTTTCTTTTGTTTGGGCTTCATAAAGATGGAAGTTTGGGAAACAGAAATATTATGAGCTTTGAGATTTTTTTTATCATGATTCGAGTAAACTCTTATTGATTTTATACTTGAATGTTTCGTGGAAACTTGCTACTAAAGGGGTATCATAATTTATGAAACAAAAGTTGGACAAAGTTTGTGTTAGAATTTGGGTGTGACCCGAATTCCTTGTTAAAATAATTAAAAAATTCTAATTGAAGTACACGTCAAGAGGAATTCAGTTTGGAGTGCTATTGGAGTCTTATTCAAGTTGAAATTCTATTTGGAAACCCTATTGGGAGTTGGAATTTGTATAGAACTTGAAAATGTTGAAATTATGGAATGGAAAGAAAAGTCGTCGCATTTTCGCCAACCTATCGCTGGCCGCTAGAGCAACACCTGCAGGTTTTCTCCTATAACTTGGTCGCTCGCTATCGCCCCTCTGGCGCTCGAGCAATGGACCTGTCACTAGCCTGTTGCTCGAGCGACAAGGTTATCCGGCCCAAGCCATTTTTCACGTTGTAACACATTTTTTGCATTCCACTTCAACTACAACTCATTTATTAGAGTTTGGACGCCGCCTTACACAGTTGCCTATATATTCTTGGTTCTTCTCTACAATTTTATGGCGTGACAATTGTGTGAGAAAAGTGATTACTAGCTTTTAGAATCATTGTAATATTTCGACTTCATTATTTGTGGTGCAATAAAATCTCCTTATTCCTCTGCCATATTTTCTTTTATTCTTTTGTTTGTGATCAAATATTTCATTATCGTATCATATAACTTCAACATCCCAATCCGATGGTTGGTTTCATATCAAGTGATATTGAGCGATGCGTGATCCTTGAATTTCCAACAATTGGTATCAGAGATTTTGGGCATAATTACCACAACAAGGATGGTTAGATATGTACATTACGCTAATATCTTTCACTTATTTATTAGAGTTTGACTTTATTATTTTACATTGTTTTTACAATCTTATTATATATTTCACTTCCTAGGACGTGCAATAGTAGAAGAATTTTTTTTTTTCTTTTGAAGGACTAGAATGAGATAATGATACATTGATTTGAGTATTTAGTTTATTGGTTTTTGGATATATATATTGATATTAGTAGTTGGTGTGAAGATAGACATAAGCTTCTCTATTTGAACAACAAAACTTCTCCATTTCCACAAGGCTTATTAATACATATTTTAGGAGTTGTTCTTTTGTTAAGGTCATTTATATTTGTAATCTAAATTATATTTACAAATTTCAAATGTATTGTTTTAACTTTCAAGTCTACAAGCTCACATATTTATATGATCTATGATATTGTTTAATGCAATTAATAATGAAAGTATAACAACTAAAGAATGTTATAAATATTGAATTCTTGACAAAATGAATGCTATAGAATATGTAAACTATATAATTAAAGAATTTGTAAATACTAAATTCATAACATGAAGAGAAGTTATTTAAGCATTGCAATCAAAGAATGCTATTTAAACATTTCAATCAAAGCATGATGTTAGTGTTAAACTTATGATAGAAAAAAGAATGTCATTGTAGATGTAAACATAACTATTAAAAAATATCAATAAAACCAAAATCGTAACAAAAAAAAGGAGAATGCTATTAAAATGTAAACACTACAATCAAAAAATTGCTTCAAATACTTAATTTATGGCGGTGAATGAACACTATCAAAAAATAAAATGAAATTATAGTAATTGGTAATAGCATTAAAAAAAACTGTTATAATAGAGGTATGACTTTTAGTAATGCTAATTATAATAGCATTCAAGATAATTCTATGGAACATGATTGATAGCATTCTTGGTATGATATGCACGGATATCATTTTCTTTCGTCTTCACCTTTGCATTGATCTATGTCACAACCTATATATCTTCCTCTACTTCTTCGCCAACATAGAGAACTACAAAAAATGCACTTTCAAAAACCACTTTTTTTTTTGTTAAAATAATAATAAATCATTTTTTAGTTGGTTCATTGAAAAATGCTTATCGAGATTTTTCAAGACAAAAGTTCCATCCTTAAAATGTTTCTTCATTCTCCTTAAGCTCCTTGACCACTTCATTTCTTTATAGAAAGCTAGAACTCAAAATTATAGCTCTCAAGGAGTTGGGTTAAGATTATTTAATTGGTTCATGGGTTTGAAATGATCTCATTAGTTATTGACCTAAAGGATGGACATTTTTGAACTCTTACATTGCAATCACAATATGTTCAAACTTTAACATCATGCTAGGAAGATTTTCTGAACTCTTCTGTAGTTAGTGTCCAATATATCTCATACTTGCTTTGCTGAAATGACTTCTAAAATTCTTTTGAAATCATTTAATATTTGTTGCTTGATAAACTACATGTTTTTTCTTTTGTATTATTTCTAAAAAGTTGTGTTCGAGTAAGCATGCAATTTTTACATTTTTTGAGAATCATAAAACACCTTCATTCATTGATTCTATGATGTAGGAGTTGTTGTCGCTCATTACGGCAACATCGTGATGATATGAAATGTGCGACGGATTCAGCAATGCCTGGACTCTGCAACGTGTTGACATTTTTGTTTAGAACAACTGATTGATTCATTGTATATTTCTTTAGTCATTCTCTTGAGCAGTAATAAACTTATTTAATTTTATTAGATTAGGGTGTTTTGGTAAATTACGCTAGGATTTTATTATTTCTTTGCGTAATTATATTACTTCTACAAATTTTACTAGATGCACCCCAATTTTAAGTATTTTTCTTATTTACTTAAGTAGCAATATTACATAAACAGATTGCATAATTTTAAGTGCATCACCTATTCCTCTTTCTCGTCTCCTCTTCTTCTCACTTCAGGTCCCAGATTCTTATCCAAGATCGGATCATTCCTTTCAAGGGATATAATCGTATTCAAACTTCTCCTCCTATAATCATCCTCCCAATTGATAATCTTAACAGTACGGAACGCTACGCCCTTCTCGAATGGCTATTCTTCAAGTATAAATTCACCCATCTCTCCATGTTTCATCTATATATTGTGTATGCATCAAATTACTTTCCTATTTTTTAAATAGTTTATAAACTTTTTAGATTATACGGTGATAAATCCCCGGTCTAACAGCAAAATCGACAAGGGGATGGAGTGATTTGAGTAGTATAAAAAAATTTCCACTTTGATTTGTTGTTTGAGGCTTTGAATACAGCATTTAACATATGAATAAAAATCCAGAAAGAGTAGAAATTATGAGAAAAATGAGGAGTAATATTGGAATGATAACTACACTACTTTTAAAAAAAAAAAAAATTATTTCTTATTGGATTAAGAGAATAATTGTAAATTTGTTGTGGTATTTTTATTGAAATATATTTTAATTGTTGTGTGATTATAATATGGTATAGTAAGTAAATTTTGTGGTTGTAATATAATTACTTATACGTGCATTTTACACACTTATTTATGTCATAAAACACGGACAATTGTTGGTAAATATATTGAAATATGGCTTAATTCTATACAAATTGTGTTTTATAGGATAACATTGATAGACATAGTGGAATTTAGAAAAAAAGATTAAAAAAATGACTAAAATGGAAGAAAACCAAAGTTCAGGTACCAAAGTGTAAAATAGCTTAAAGATGAACAAGAAGAAGAAACGAAGATGTAAAATAATCAAGAACCAATTGAGCGAATGAATGAAGCATTGGAAGAAGAAGAAGAAGAAGAAGGGAGAAAAGAGATGAAGAAACGAGAAAATGGAGTTCCGAGACTAGAAGGAAACTTGTGGATTTTACTTTAAACTATGCGGTCGCATTGTTAGATGCAGGGAATTGAAGGAGTGCATTTCATTGTTCTATGCGGTTGCATGGAAGCATACTATTCGGTCGCATAGTATGTTTCTGAAGGAAAAAATCTGGTTTCCTTATTTCAATAAATTTTTTATGGAAACAAATCTCAAGGCTTCTTTTAAAACTTACAGCCGTCCAGAACGCATTCTAAGAAATTTTGGGAGCATAGAAAGAGGCAAGAATACGAAAATCGATTCCAAAACTTGAAGATTCAATTCAAACTTTATCTGGGTGACGTCGATTCTTCAATATTTCTTTTGTTTTCTTCTTACGCTGGCTAGTTTTTTTTTTTTTTTTTTT